CCCCCCCCGGGGACTCACCCAGAATCCCATCCCAGATCATCTTGAAGACGAAGGAGTTCAGGAAGGAGGAGATGGTCACCAGCTCTTCCAGCTTGAAGGAGACCTGCTCCTCGTAGACTTCGATGTCGTCCAGTATCCTGGGGGGGGGGGGGGGGGGGGTCAGCCCGCTCTCCCACCCGGGGGGGGGGGTGGGGGTGGGGGTGAGGGAGGCCAGGGCCTCTCGGGGCCCCTCTTGCGCCCCCCCCCCAACCTACGTGATCAGGTGGCGGGAGCAGTCGCAGAAGAGCACCAGCATCGCCAGCAGCCGCCTGGACTCCTCGGTGTGGTTGTTCAAGCACTCCAGGAAGACCTTCAGGCCCCCCTGGGGGCCCAGCTCACAGATGAGGGCCCAGAGCTTGGGCAGGAGGTCGTCCAGGTAAGTGAGGCCTGGAAGGGGCAGCAAGAGGAGCAGAGGGGGCAGACCTGGCCCTCTCTTCAAACACGCCCCAACCTTCTTTGGAAAAGCTTCCCCCTCCCCAAATCAAACGCCAGGAGCCACGTTCCCCTGGCGGGCGGGCAGAGCGAAGCCGAGGCAGGGCGGCTTCACTAGGTACCCCAATGGGGCGCCTGAAACTGACACCCCCTGCGGCACCCAGGACCAACCTGTGAGGATCTGCAGCCGGATCTGCGTGAGGGTGGTCAGTGCCATCTGGTACAGGACGCAGATGCTGCACACCTTCTGCACCTCCGGCGAGTCCACCCTTTTGCCGCCGATGGGCTTCAGGATGTTGCGAACGGAGGTGGATTTCTGGAAGGCGCGTCTGAAGAGGCCTGGCGGGAGGCAACGAGGCAAGGATGCTCCTGCGCTCAGAAACCCCAGGCCGGAGGGGGCAGCAGGTGGGTAACCCAGCGGGGGTCTCCTTAAGATACGGGTAGGCTTCGGCCCCCAGAATTCCTCCTCGGCTGGGACCCCCGGGGAACGCCGGGTGGGGGCCCGTGTTGCTACTCACTCTTCATGGGCAGGCTGTTCTGCGGGGAGGGGGCTGGCGGGGGCTGACGGGCAGCTTCTGGGCTCTCCAGGAGCTTCTTGCTGAGCACGTCGCTGAAGAGGATGCGCATCATGTGGGCCCCCCAGAGGTGCTGAAGCTGCTTGGTGAGCAAAGGCATCGACTCGTTCAAGCTGGGGAGGAAGAGAGGTGGGGGGGGGGGGGGGGAGCGGCTGGGGAACGGGGGGGGGCGAACCCGGGGCCCCCGGGGGGTCCCGGAGCCCGAAAAACGGGGGCCCCCCCCCCCCCAAGGCAGCCCCGCCTAGTCTTTCCAGCACGCTTGCTTCTGGCAGGCCTGGTTCCACGGGAGGGGCTTACCCATAATCCACCGCCTGGGAGAACCAGCCGAGGACCGGGTGCCAGTGGGTGAGGTTGGACTTCTTCTGCGAGACGTACTTCTGGCAGTAGCAGAGCATGTGGGTCAGGACGCTGACAAAGGGGCCCGTCTCCTCCTGCAGCACCTTCTCGTTCAGCGACCCCAAGTAGACGAGGTTGCCTGGGGGACAGCAGCAGCCGAGCAGTCAATGCAGCCCTGGGGCAAGAGGGGGGCTCTGCCCCAATCACCACCTGCCCTCCCCAATTCTGTCCCCTGGTACAACTAGGCGGGGAGACGCCCTGCATCCATCTTAACCCAAATGCAGAGGTCAGAGGCTGCACAGAGGGTCACCAATATGGCTGCGAAGGGGATCCTTGTGGCCAAGTGCCGCCTGGGCTTGAGGAGGAGGAGGAGGAGGAGGAGGGAGAAAACTCCCTTAGGAGGGCAACCTGCTCTTCCTAATTCCTAGAGCCCCTCTCCCTACCCTGCAGAGCAGAGGGCAAACGCTGCCGTCTTACCCAGAAGGCAGAGCGTGTGGCTTCCTTCCAGGCACACGCAGACATCTCTGCATTGCTCTTTCTGGCTCAAGAAGAGCAGAAACTTGCGCAGGAGATCCTGGGACTCCATCACGGCCAGGCGCTGAAAGGGAAGCAGACGTTCACCCGAGGAGCCTGCGAGAGAGGCTGAGGGAGCAAGCTTGTCTGGCTCTGGCCAAGCAAGGGGAACAAACGTCTCCTTAAGATTTCCTGCCAGCTTTTCTCTACAACAGCGTGCAAGCAACTGGCTCCTCTTCACCCCTCCTGAAAAGCCCCAGCCCTGATTTACAGGGATACGACATCACGGATGATCCATACGGCAAACATGAGGCGCCCCGAACAGCCCTGGAGAGAGCAGGGCTCCTCAGCCTTGGCGACTCTATGACCGTGGACCTCAACTCCCAAGCTCTCTGCTGGCTGGGGAGTTTGGGAGTTGGAGTCCACGTGCCTCAGAGTTGCCAAGGCTTAGAAACCCGGCCGCGGAGGATGCAGGACAACCAGGCCCGTTCTGGAGTCCTAGAAAAGGACGCTTCAAACGCCTGGAGAGGAATTGCCTACCTCCGGGGTAAGTGCTGCAAGATGGCTCATGATGGCTGGCACGGACATGATGTGGATCAAGAAGGATCGCAAGAGGTTGTCAGAAAAGTGAGCCGCAACCACCGGGCTGGAGGAAAGGAGAAAATCACAAGGGTTTGGGGAAGTTCCGAGCGCTGCCTCGGTCTCCTCAAAGAGTTCCTGACCAGGACCGAGTCGCAGCTTCGTCTTACCGCAGTGCGAGAGAAAAAGCCGCCGTTAAGGTGCCTTTGGAGAAGGAAGGCTGAGACCTCGCCAAACCGTTGGTCAGCAAAATCTGAGGGGAGGGGGGGAGTTGAACAAGCGTTTCAGGGTCAAGAGTAGGGGCCTCCAACCCGGCAACTTTAAAACTTGTGGACTTTAACTCCCAGGATTCCCAACGTTCTGGGAATCCACAAGGTTTAAAGTTGCCACGGTTGGAGACCCTTGTTCTAAATGAAGAAACCACAGTTGGGTGCCATAAAATAGGCGAGCAGATGGAGAAAGAAACCCCTAAAGCTCTTTCCATCTTTTTCCAGCGAGATTTGCACAGAGCAGCTTACAGCAATGGCTACAAACCTGGAGCACAGAGTAAAACCCTTTCTGGTTGAGATGTCCCATGATATTTGCACAGATGTGATTCATGGCGTGGCGCAGGGCTTCTCCTGCAGAAAGGACCCAGAGAGGAGGACTCAGTGCAGCTCTTCTCTTCGTGGCCAGGCCCTGAAGCCTCAAAGGCCGGGGGACAGGGTGAGCGTGGGTGTGTCTGTTTCAGAAACTAGATCCAATTGAGAGGTGGGGTCTACTTGGGCTTTTCCCTTCAGCCTCTAGGATTTACACTTTGATGAACACATTAAGAGACGTCATTAGGCTAAATACTTTTAAAAATATATTTTAAGAAAATTCACAGCAAAATGACATAAAATAAGGCATCAAGTTGAAAACTCCCAAGGTAAACAAAAAGGCCTTAGCTTAACCCTCCCTCTCGGAGAAGAGACTTGGGGCTCGAATGCTGTATAATTTATGTAAGAACAAGCCGCTCTCTGTAGCCAGTCAAGGGGAAATCACCCTTGGCAGGCCGATAGGACAAAGCTGAAGGAAAAGAAAAAACAAGTGGCATTTTTTGGCAAACAAAGAGGCAGAATTCTGCAAACGCACCTTTTCCCTGCAGGATTTTCCAGGTAGAGGTGTCTGTAAAAGTCACCAACATCGTGAGGTGCAAATTCACCAGTTTTGAATCTTGCAAGATGTCTGGCTAGAAAAATGAATCCCCAGAAAGTTGAAAAGGAAACACTACAAAGCGAAGAGCAAGAGAAAAAAAATACCTTTAAAAAAAAAAGTCCGTGTCACAGAAATTGGACCAGTCTGTACCTTGAGCAGCTTCAGAAATTCACAGCAAATCCACAGCACATCCTTCACTTGCTGTATCCACAAGAGAGTCAGCTCCTTGGAGAGTGCAAGGGATACGTACCACACCTGCAAAACGAAAGGGCCACAAGAGCAACTTGGCTCAGTGGGGGAAAGTCCCCCTCCTTTCACTGGACTGAGAGGTCAAAGGGCAAAATGCTGCCATCCAGCAATTCAGAAGAACTTTCCCTCTTGTGAAACCACAGAGACAAAGAAATGTCTCGAAACAGCCCCAAATAGCCCAGGAAAAAGCTGTAGCGGTGGTTTTTGTCATCGAAACAGTTCCTTGCTTCTCTCTTGGTTCTAGCAAAATAAACAGCCAAGCAAGCGCACAGTTGCACCTTCTTCTCGTGAAAAGCAAACCTGCTTACCTTAGGATCACTTTCCACCTCCATGCTGCTAAGGATGCAGCGGCACAGCTTTTCAAACCTCTGCAGAGAGCAAGAAACAGACTCAAGGTGAGATGAGATCAGCCTTTACGCAACTGCCAGCATTCACCTTTACTTCTGATTTCCTAGAACTAAATTTAAATGGCTATTTAAACTCATGGAAAACATCTGACGTTGCTTCCTTCCTGTTGCTTGTCGCCCAAGGGCAACCACAAGGGATTCTTCCATCCCAGAACTGAGGGACCAAGGGACCCAGCCCCTACAGATGCCCCCTCCCCAACAATACCGAGAGTAGCCAAGATTCCAACGTCTGCAAAAGAGTCAGAGACGCTGTACCTCTTTGTCCTGTGGGACTTTGAAAATAAAGAGCAGCTTTCGGGAGATTTTGAAGAGCGAAAGGGCCGTCTTCTTGGCAGGACCGCTGGTGTGAAAGAAGTCGTCCACTTCGCTCCTGCGCCAAAGAGGAGAAGAAACAAGGAAGTCCTAGCAACAGGTGCCTCTAGTGCAGCAGGCAAGGCGTTGAGTTTGGATACGGAGACCCAGGAAGCCGCTGGGGCTCCGTATCTCGACTCAGATTGCCTCCCAGGCCTCTCGTTCTGGGACTGGAGGTTTTCACAGGTGGCAACAGACGACTTTTCCACTTGCCCAGATACCTGCCACGGGTGAAGTTTCATCGTATCCATAGCTATGCACACCTGATTTTCCGCTGCAGCCGACAGCGGCACAGAAACCTTCGGACGAGGGCCTGGATCCGCACCGCAGCCTGCTCCCGTTCCTTCTGCTCCCGGCGCTCCTCCCGGGCCTGCCGGGCCTTGTCCAGGAACTCGGCCTTGGATGATTGGGCTGCGCCGAACATTTTGGCCTCTGCGCAAAAACGACAAGGAAGGAGACCTGAAGCAGGAGCTCCGAAGCCCCCTTTGCACACGGCTCCAGGCCAGGCTGCTCAGCCGGTGCCCAGCAGAGAGGCGGCTCCCATGTGGGGCTCACCCAGGCGGGTGTGCTTTGCAGAAGAGCCTGGAGGTCACCCGTAGACAAACATGGTTCACGCTCGCTCCAAACAGAGCGACCAGTTCATGCCAGGCAGCTTCCCATCCCTGGTCTTGGCTGCTTCCAAACGCTGCTGCTGCTGCTACTTCTCGATGGGCGCATCGGATGGAGAGGCTGGAAGGAAGGGAGGAAGAGAAAGGGGGGGAAAGATCGGCCTGCAGAGCCAGGGGGTCCCGGGGGGGGCGCTGGAGGGGCAGCCCCCCCCCCCCCCCCCCCCCCCCCCCCCCGCCCCCGCTGGGGAAGGCCTCCTGCTGGGTCGGCCGGGTGACAAGCCAAGTCCCCTTCAGGGGCGCCAGGCAGGACAGGGAACCCCCCCGCCGCGAGAGGAGCCCCCTGTGCTACCTGGCCGGGGGCGTGTTGGCGGCGAGGCCTGCGGAGGGCGCAGGGACTCCGGCCGGGCTGCGGGGCTGCTACGGGTCGAGAGCCTCGACGGCGCGCCCCCCCATTCCTCGCCCTCCCCCCGCCGAGCGCCCGCGGAACTCCGAGGACCATAGAGCTAGGTCAACAGCCCCACTTCCGGCCGTTGCAGCGGAAGCGCCTCCGAAGGCCGCGGCCCGCCCGGAAACGCGTCCCGCGAAGCCGAGTTCCGACCTGCGGAGGAGAGGGGTGGGGCGGGGTGATCTGCGTCATCCGTTCCTTGCCCCGCCCAGGAGGACCGTCTGGCCGAGGGGAGGAGGGGGCCTCGCGCGGGCTGTTCATGGTGAGTCGGGGGCGCCGGCGGGGGGGCGGGGGGATCTTCGTCGCCCCTTCCCCGCCCTTTCGGGGGCCTCCCCTCCCGGCGGGGGAGGCGGCCAATCTTGGCGGGTGGGCTACGGGGGGGGGGGGAGGGGGTTTGGGGGGGGGAATCGGGTCCAGGCAAGGCTGGGCCAGGCGGCGAGGGTCTCCCGGAGGGCATCCAGTCGGTCCCCCGCGGGGAAGAGGCGGGCGGGGCGGGAGTCGCTCACTTTTGCCGGGGTTTTTTTCCGCGGAGGCCGCCTCGCCCATCCGGGACTGCTTCCTCCTCCCTCCCTGCCGGTCCAGGCGCCTCGAGAGTTGCGGCCGGGTCCCCGCTTGGGAAGGGCTCCTCCACCCCGCGCCTTGACCCTCCGGCCGGGGCCCTGCTCGGCCCGGGCTCCCTGCGGGTCTCCCGCCTGGGGGCCACCCCGAGAGGCTCCAGGCGGGCCCTCCGCTCAGAGAGCCCGGACTCGCTTAACGGCCGGGAGACCCGAGGCCCCAAGTCCAAGCTCGGAAACCAAAGCGAGGCCGGTGCTGGGAGAGGAAGAGGAGGAGGAAGAAAGGCGGGGGGGGGGGGGCAAAGGGCGGCGGGGAGACTTGGGGGGCAGGTCAGAGGGAGCCCAGATCTCGTCCAGCCCCGTCTCAAGGCGGGAGGGCCAGCTGGCCTCTGCCCCTTCCTTCCCCTGAGGCTGGGGTCTGCCTAGTGAGCCACTCTAAGGCTCGGGGGCTTCAACTCCCAGAGTCCCTGGCCTTACGGTTGCCCACCTGGGAGACCCCTGCCGAGGCCAGAGGGGCCCTGGCCACCCTTGAAGGGCTCCCCCCCCCCGCCCTGTGAAGGGCTCCGGCCATTTGCCCACTCTGCTCCTTGAGAAGGGCCGAAAGAGGCCGCTGCTGCCTCTCTTTGGGGGCTTTGGGCTCGAGGGGGGCCCCCTCACCAAGCTCCTGACCCCGTCCTGGGAATGCAGTGGGCTCCCCCTGAAGGGCCTCTGCTCCTCCAGGAAGAGATGTCCGGAGAGACAGTGGTGAGCACCGCCGTGCCAGCAGCCACGACCCGCACCACCTCCTTCAAAAGCGGCAGCCCCAGCTCCAAGTATGTGAAGCTGAACATCGGCGGGGCCTTGTACTACACCACCATGCAGACGCTGACCAAGCAGGACACCATGCTGAAGGCCATGTTCAGTGGCCGGATGGAGGTCCTCACGGACAGCGAAGGTAAAGGAGCGGGGGGCCAGCCGGGCTCCACTCTGCAAGGGGGGAGGCTTGGGGTCTTGAAGGGGGCTTCTGGCCAGGACGGCCTTCCAGGTGTCTGCAAGCCGCCAAACTCCTGCAATTTCGCCTGGATACAAATGGCCGGAAGGAAGAACTTCCAAATAGCGTTCTGGATTTATTTTATTATGGGATTTATCTGCCACCCGCCTCATATCCAGCAACTGCTCAACCAGTGGGACTTTTGAGACTCTGCCTGGAAAAAGCAGCAGAGTGGGGTCTGTTTCCGAGTGGCACAGAAGGAGGGGGGGGGGCGTCCCACTCACCGGCAGCAGTGAGGAAGGAGAGGAGACAATGGGCCTTTGAAGTTTTCCTTTGTCATAGCAGCAAAGTAGGGAGCTGGGCGGCAGCACACCTGTGGGTCATACCTTTGCGCAATCGCAAGCGAAGTGCTTGGTTTGTTGTGATCATTTGGAAATTGATGAGGGAAACTGGGACAAGAGAATCTCAATTGAACAGATTTTTCAACCCTTCGCATTTGAGGATTTAAAACTAAGGAGAATGATGAACAGGTTCAAATATTATCAGTTTGACTCCAAAAGGAAAAAAACAACAGTTCTGGTTCCATTAGAATGAAATTCCCAGCTTGCAGAATTGAGAGCTTAACCGGATTTTAGCTGTTTAAGTCCCTTAGTTTAAGACCGCCTTTGCATTCTTCACCCAGCGCTGCCCTTATTTGTCCAAGAGCAGTGGCCTGCTTACGCATTTTTTATCCCCTCCCCTCCCATAACATTCTTGTGTCTCTGCCCACAAAGAAGTGGAGCTCATGGAAGCTTGGGAGGGTTGCCTGCTCCTTTGAGCTGGCGAGTTTTGAGGCTGCCGGCCACGTGACGAAGCCGAACTGCTCAGAGGTAAACAGTGGCAGCCGATGAGCCCAGGATAGGATTAGGCTGAGCTCGGACTCTGCACTCCTTCCCATCCTGGCTGTGCTTTTTGCCTCCTCCTAGGCTGGATTTTGATCGACCGATGCGGCAAGCATTTTGGAACCATTTTAAACTACCTGCGCGATGGGGCCGTGCCCCTCCCAGAGAGCCGGCGGGAGATAGAGGAGCTGCTGGCCGAGGCCAAGTACTACCTGGTTCAAGGCCTGGTGGATGAGTGCCAGGCTGCCCTCCAGGTAAATCCGTTGTGGGTGCTCTGGAGCCAGCCGTTCCCCGCTCTGTTGCACCCCATGGACCGCTCTGGTGGGGAGTGGATGAGGTTCCCACCTGGGAGGGGTGGAGGGAGGCAGGAGGAGGAACTGCAGCCTTGTGGGGCTGGACCCCCTTTCTCTATTGCGGTTGGTGCCTCTAAGGCACTGGCTCCAAACCTCAGCAGCTTTAAGGTGGGTTCCTGGCGTTGCTGGCTGGGGAATTCTGGGAGTTGAAGAAAAACCTTTGCAAGCTGCAGAGCCTGCCAAGATTCCTGAGCTTGGCCAGGGAAGGGAGGCCTTGTCCACTGTAAGCAAAGGCCGGCTTCTGCCCGATCGCCTGGCTTCCCTTCCAGTCCGTCCTCTTCTTTTCACAGAACAAAGATGTCTACGAGCCTTTTTGCAAAGTGCCCATCATCACGTCCTCCAAGGAAGAGCAGAAGCTCATAGCCACGTCCAACAAGGTAAAAGCCTCCCGTTCCGGAGGGCCTCCCGGTCACTCTCATGGCTCCGTCTCCCCTGGGAGCTGGGAGAGGAACGGTCATCCCTCCCCCCCCCAGGCAGTGCTCTCCTTCCACCAGGTCTTCACAGTGGCCAACTGCAGGGGGGAGGCAAGCAGCTGGTCTCCAGATGTTTACCTCTGCGGTTCCGACCATCCCCTGCAGGGGGCCAGCTTGCCTTCAACACCTAGTGGTGACCCTTGGAACTACCCCCCCCCCCCCCCCGCTTTCTGTGTTTCTGCAGCCTGCGGTTAAACTGCTCTACAACCGAAGCAATAACAAATATTCCTACACCAGGTAAAGTATTTTCAGCACCAAGAAGGGGGAGAGTTTGGAGAGGGAGCAGCTGCCCCGTTAGGCGGAAAGGAGGGGAGGGAAACTGGCTAATTATGGGTGTCCCTCGGGCCCTCCCCTCTCCCCCCCCCCCCCCCCATTCGGACGACAACATGCTGAAGAACATCGAGCTGTTTGACAAACTCTCCCTGCGCTTCAACGGGAGGGTCCTGTTCATCAAAGACGTGCTGGGAGACGAGATTTGCTGCTGGTCCTTTTACGGCCAGGGACGGAAGATCGCGGAGGTGTGCTGCACCTCGATTGTCTACGCCACCGAGAAGAAGCAGACCAAAGTGAGTGGCTGACTCTGCCCCACCCCCCACCCACCCCCGCTCAGAGGGGACTGTCTATCTAACCCCCCCACCCCGTTTGGCACCCCCAGGTTGAATTCCCCGAGGCCCGAATCTACGAGGAAACCCTGAACATCCTCCTCTACGAAGCCCAGGACGGCCGGGGCCCCGACAATGCGCTGCTGGAGGCCACCGGGGGGGCAGCCGGGCGCTCCCACCACCTGGACGAGGACGAGGAGCGCGAGCGCATCGAGAGGGTCCGTCGGATCCACATCAAGCGCCCCGATGACCGCACCCACCTGCACCAGTGAGGGGCTGCAGCAGGCCAGCCCCCTGCCCCCGACTCGGCTGGCCTCCGGCCGGCTGCCTGGACTGTCCTTTTCTACCTAGAGTATTTTTGGAATTCAACCTGTGGCACCCAAATGGACTGTCCCCCGTGACCGAGTCCGGCCTTTGCAGCACTTCTGTTTCCGGGCCTGTTTTGGGTGGGACCAGGCAGCCTCTGTGGGGCTCCGGCCTCCCAGTCGAGTGGGCTCCTTCCAGGGAGGTTTCTGGACGAGCCTTCATTCCCAGGGGGAAACGCTGTGGCTAAGCCCCCCTGGCCACCCATGCGGGGGGAGGTGTTCCCTCTCCTGTTGCAGGAGGACAGAGGGTGGTGGGGCCAGGTGGGAACGTCCCATTTCTTCCCCCCTCCCCTTCCCCCAGGATGCTGGTTCCCATCTTGCCTTCAGTAGATGCTGCAAAGCGCACCTGTGGCCTTCTCTCTCCTCGCCCCCTCCCCCCATTCAGGAGCCCCCCCCCTTCTGATCCCAGACCAAAGGCCTCGTCTTCCCAGCAATGACCTCCTTGCCGTGTCCATGTGTGATTCGGTCTCCTTCATCCTGGGACCAGCAGGCTCAGTCCGGCTGGACCGTCTAAATTAGAAGCCATTTTGCAGATGGGTAGAACGGAAGCCCTGAGGACCCAAGAAGGCTGTGCCCCAGCAGTGAGGCTCCCTAGGCGTCTCCTCTTGGCCCCTTGGAGTCCAGAAGAGCCACTAAAGCGCTCTGGATTAAAGGGGGCCTGAGAAGGGAGAGCAGGGGGCCATTCGCAGCCTCCCACCCAGAGGTCCCTCAGCTCCCCCCCCCTCCCGGAGTCCCTGTGTGGGTGAGAAGGAATCGACAGAATCTATCTTGCTGCAGCAGACGGGGTGAGGCGGCCTTTGCTCCGTCCTCCTCGGATCAGGTTCTGTTGCATCTCTCCAGTCCTTTATTTCGTAGCAGAAATCTTGTAATTTGGAGTGTAAGCGGCAGGAAAC